TCTGTTGTTGTTAAAACTGAAAATGAACTTGTCCTGGGTTTCATTTATTTTTAGGTTTGCCTTTTGACCTTGAAATAAATTGTTAAATAAATACAAATAAAACAGAATTTTCAATGAACTGCTAAAGCCAGTTTCATAGTATATCTTAATTTTCCTATAATATGGTTCCCTCTCTATAACATTATATTTCATAGTACATATTTTGTATTTGATATTATTCAGGCTACGATAAACCAACTATCTTTAGAGCAGTGTTATTTGAGTTCTAGGTTAGGACATTTCAAAGTATAGATTTTCCCCCATTCTATCCCTTTTCATTGCACCTTAAATATCCAGACATTCTGGAAAAGGTCCTGCATGGAGGGTGCTAGCCCAGGCCCTGAGCCTAGAGATGGATCCTGACTTTTCTACTTTCCAAAGATGAAACTTAGACATGTTTCTCTGTGTTCTATCACCTGAGCTCTTTTCACCTAAAAAGTGAGGGTTTTGTGAAAATTAAACAGTACATTTTTTTGAAAATGCATTCTGGAAATGAAGGAGAAATACTCATGTAAACACTGATAATTATTTTTGCTGCCACCATAGTTCTATGATAAGATTTTACTACTTTTGATTCTAATATTTTCCTTTGAAATTTCACACCAATTAAAATATGCATGTTATGCAATTGCACCTTTATAAAAATCCAAAAGCCCACATTCTCCTTATCCCCTTGAACCAAGCCAGTGACTCATCTTGGAGCTGATGGCCAGACAGGGCTGGCTGGGTCGACTCTGGCTGACTGTCCTTCTAAGCTTTGTCTTAGCTCACTGCCTGTTGGCATGATAAACCTGCTAAGAGTTTCTTCTACAAAGTGTGTAATTTGGAAGTATTTTCTTTTGGTGCCTTAAAAAATATTGGGCATTACTCTGTAGCAGGATCTTAGTTACCTAAAATGTTTACTATATGTGAGATCTCTGGCCATCTCCACTTAGACGCCCCCTCACCTGTGTGTGTCCTAACTGCTTCACAGCACTTCTCTGTGTTTTTACAGTTGTTACGATGACTTTTTTCCTGGGTCTTGTGAACCAGCAGCTACAGGCAAGAAGAACTTGCCATCTGGGGATTCACAAGAGAGAACTTGCCATTTAAAAAGACATTGTGAGTACTTAAATGACTCAGAGAGAGTATACTTTCTGCTCTAGTTAAAAGAAGAGAACTGTCCTTGAGAACATGTATGAAAAAGCACTCTTCATGAAACCAAAGGTCCTGGTTAGCACACCTGTGTAGACAGATAAAGAAGAAACTTATCTGTTCCTGTTCTTAAGCTACTTCTACAAGAATCTGCCTATAATTGCCAATTATAAAATACTGTTTTCCAAAGTCTATTTGAATTGTAGTTCCCATGTGATAAAATTCTAATGCATTTTTAATTTTCCAATAGATAAACCTCTAAAAAATATTTAATACTATTAAATGAATGGAATCAGATTTTACCTTATCATTGAGTTGATAATCCTCAAATTTATCTTACAATTATCACTGGTCAATCAAGTCTGATAAAGTGCGATTTTTCAAATGATGATAAACTAATTCCAGATTAAATTTAATATTATGTATTTTGACATTACATTGATTCAGACATTGTTATTGTTTCTGTGCTAGTTTTTTTTTTTTACCATGTACATTTGATTACTGGTCTCATTAAAATAATTATAATGCCTCAAATTAAACCATGTCTCTAAACGTGACATTGCATAAGGCTGACAGTCAAATAGGCCTCTGTTCTGTTATACACTTGACTCATGCTCTGTTATATAACTTAAAACTAACAGAAGAATTACAAAGGCTACTGAAAATGAGCTACTGGTGGCTCTGATCAAATTTAGAAAATAAAAGGGAGAAGAAGGAGAAGAAATGAGACTCATATATTTTCAAAACAATTTCACATTATCTTATGTAATCACAGTAAAATACATTTTACTTATCACATTTATAAATTTCCTGATTGCCAAATCCACATGCTTTTCACAAATACTGGGTATAACTTTGTACTGCACAAAAGCACACGTGTACTTGCCTCTTTCCTTCTGCTCCCTGACTGGTTTCCTGTCACCCTCCTAACCCTCCACAAGTTGTCTGGTTTCCTTTATGTATTTACAGGCATCAGCATTTCTCTTGTCCCACAATGTTCAAATTAAGGCCTTACATGCTTCCCCGTTCACCTTTCTTTAGAACCAAATCACATAAACTCTTTCTTTGTGGGAAATAACAGAGCTTACCCAAACACTTTTTTTCCTGTAATTTCAGAACAGAAAACTCTCTCTACTCCAATGCAGAGAATACCTTTCAAAATTACGTCTCCTTCCTCTATAGATCAGTCTGACTTAGACCTTCCCTGCAAACCACGTGAAATCAAGAGGGGACCACCAGGCAGGTTCACTCTGAGGAGGGCTGAGGACGGAACTCCAGCATGACTGGCTTGGCGAACTTCCCCAGTTAGCCATCCTTTACTCTTGCCTTCCCGACCATAAGACAGGGCTAATGATGCTTAGCTCATAAGGCTCCTCCTAGGGTTTATCTAAAACAGACAACATAACAAATAGGCACTCCATATTGCGATAGCTATTATTTTGTCAAGATTTTAAGCCAAGTAAGTGTTCTGAAACTTTCTTTGCAATTTGACAAAATTATTCTTAAGTTCATTTATAGTAATAAGCAAGTGAAAGGAGCCTTGTATAAGAAGGGAAATAAATAGGGACTTGTGCCCCCAGATGTCAAGATGTCTTCTGTTGAAAACCACACCCTGCTGGGCTTCCTGCTTTGCTGCAGTTCCTGGTCCTCAGAAGCAACTGGACATGTAGGACCAAGAGCTAAAAGTACTCAGGGGAGCTGACGTAAAATCCCACTTACAGGAAGATCTTCTAATAGAAATGATCTCAAATACTTAAAACAATTGTAAGCCAAATATGTTCACTGTAGGAAAATGCAATAACAGCACAATCGGAAACAATGTAAACACCCCAAATTAGGAAAGTAGCCTATGATGAAGCATTTATGCACTGTAATAATATTCATCCATTTTAAATCATACATTTCAAAGAGTTTGTAGTAACAAAGTATTGGCATGAAGAAAGCACAAAAACACAAAACTGAAGGCACAGTATGATCCCAACTGTATAAAGCTAGGCATAGAAGCAAGGGGAAGAAAACACACCAAAATATGAAGGATGATTGTTTCTGTGTGGTGGAATTAAGGATGTTTTTCTTTTTCACATACTATTCTGTGTCTCACGCATTTTCTGCAGTCAGTAGGTATCGTTTTGGGATGGACTATTGACCTTATATCTAACAGATTCAAAACTTCTCCAACAGCTAATTCTCTAGGGAGAGTGAGGGGTATTCTACCACTTGCTCTGTATTAGCTTCCAGAAACTAACAGATATATCTCTGTTTTGAAGATGACCTCAGAAAGCCATCAAATTAAATAAGAAATAAAGTATAGCTGCTTCTAATGGCTAAACTCAGTATGCACATTCCTTCATATTTCAGACTTTCATCCACCATAGTATAATACCTTCGTGACTACAGAATGCAGATTCACAAAAATATATCTGACCAAAATCTTAGGAAAAAATACATGCTCTCAATCCTAGCCTATTTCTTACCTCTGAAATACTGCTAAATATATGCGATATATATAGTAAGCAAATTAACTACCTAATGTATTAACTTGGAAATTTAAATATTGTGTATGATTTCACTTCTAAACACACTTCTCATGCAGATATATGTAGGAACATCATGGTTAAATCCTATAAGGTTTAGCAGCAGGGAGAGGAAGACATGGAAAGGAAGACATTCACTGAATAGATAAGGAAACCAAAGGCACAGGTAGGGAAATAACCACTCAAGACAAGCAGCAAGGCAAGAATAACAACTAATGCTCTTTCCCAAGGGAATACCCTGAATGGCTAAGAGGCATGTCCTACAGGCACGGTTAATGTGCACATTCCTCACGGTGCTGAGGGCTGGACTAGTCCCTGACGGACCTGGTACACAGCCCCACTGCCGTCATGTACCAGCCACACACCTGGGGATGGTCACAAGCCTCTCTCTCTCTCTCTGTTTCGTCCTCTGTACACACCTGGGAATGTCAAAAGAACAGAAAATGTCCAGAGGACAAAGAGAGAAGGTCATGGACTTGGAAGGGTCCTCCTTCCTGCCAACTAGTAGGGATCTGTTGCAGATTCACTGTGTCCTGAAGATCCCTCCATGTTTCACACAAGTGCAACCTCCACAGCTGATTTTCACAGAAGGGGTGCTTGGCGACTTTTGTCCTAAAATTTAACTTCTTAATTATACTCCACCAACTTCAAGTGACAATCCTTTTGATCAGCCAGAACAGTTTGGGGAAGAAGAGGAAAGGAATTGATAACGCCAAATGCCTGGGTGTCCTGCAGATCTTCAGGCACATGTAGTTTCTGGTATCTGCCTCTGCATTCAGATGGCCACAGTTCAAGGCCTATGGCTCAAGCCAGGACCACTGCAAGTCCTTGTCAGTGCCGCCTAGTGTGGGCCTGGATTTAAAGGCAAATTCCTTTGCATAATGGCACCAAGGAGGGCAATCAGAATGCTGATCATTGCCTTGTCTAACAAGCAATAAATGTCCTTTATGCAGGTCAACTTCTGAATCGTGCTTTAACCTGAGTGGGAGGAAACACAGCCGACTCTGAAACCATCTTCTTCCACTTTTGAAAACGTAATCTGCCTCTTTTCTCTGACTCACTTCAGAGACCCCACACTTGGAATAAAGGAATAAAGTGTCTTTATTCCAAGTGCCTTGCTCAGGAATAAAGTGTGGGGTAGGGCAAGGACTCTTTTATTTATTTACAACAAGTTCAAGGGTGTGGGACTGCAAAGGTGGCCAGCGCGGGTTTGCTAATATACTGCTCAGCAAAGTTTCTGAAAGGCACTTGTGCCCCGAAAATCGTAAAATCAAAGCATAGATGATAACTTACCCAAAGTGACCGGCTAAGTTCATGGAAATACAAAACAGAAGGAGGTTTTTGATCATGATAAAGCTAGAGAACATTCCATTGTCCATTCCCAATAAGAATAATAGCTGAAGCAGATGAATTTGGAAGAATAACTGTTCCTTTCTCAACCTTGATCTTGAAGCTGAAAGGGGGAAAAATATATAAACATGAATGTTTCTGTGACGCAGTTCCTGGAATCAAATCACACTGCTAACACACACAGTTCAGAAAGAAAGGAGCCTGGCTGTGCTTGTGCAGCACGGCTCCACATCAGGAGTTATCTGTGTTCACTGGCCTTTTTATTGGGGCATAAAAAGAAATTACAGTAGGCTTAATTTTCACTTTTACTCAAGGTGCAAAATCATTCCCCTAATTAATTTTTTCCCATGCCTCAAATACTTTGTTTTATTTTTACCATGTTATCAAATGACCCATTAGTCCTATTATTAGATTCAATGCCTGAAGTTATCTAACTGTATTTTGCATCTGTCAAATCCACAAGTGGAATACTTTTACCTTTCTGAAATATTTGCCACGCGTTCAAAGTCAGCAAGCTACTCCTTGTTCTGCAAGGTGCTGAGAGAAAGTATGTGAAAAGAGGGGGGAAAAGGCACATTTAAGAAACAGGTCTTCTACAAGATCATGAAAATATAAGAACTGCTTATAAGGGAGGGTTGCCACTTTCTGAGCAATCTGTCCCCATGACTGAAGAACTTAATAATCACTGCATTTGGGAAAGTCTCTTGGCTCTGGGCTCTGTGCTGGGCCCTAATTAATGCATTTGAAATCCAAGCAGGCACAATCCCTGGGCTCTGCAACTAACCTTAGCGAAGGCATATACTTCTCAATATGCGCATAACGCAAATAGATGCACATCCTATAGGAGCACTGCGTGTTCAAAAGAAACATTTTCCCGAGGCGACCCCAGGCCAACTCCGGAAAAGGGAAACACACAACAGGTACTTCCACCTCAGAATCCAAGGCCCTCGAGTGCAGAAAGGCAGGGCGGGGGTCTCCTGGGCGCGTCCTGGGGCTTGTCGCCAAACCCGGGCCAGAGTCCCGGCGGCGAGCAGGCGGCGCTGCATGCGGGAAACCGGGGCGGCGCCTCCTGCTGCCCTCAGCCCGGAGCCGGGACCCCCAGAGAGAGGCTGCGCTCCCACGGTACCGGGACCGCCGCGGGGGCTCGCGGGAGCTGGTGGGCGCGGGGACGGCACTGCGGAGGCTAAGCCTCCGCCGGCTTGGTGCCCGCGGCTCGGCAGGGTCGGCCTCCTGCCCAGTCCGCAGCGGCGCGCCCAGCGCCAAACGCTCGCCGACCCTCCCCGGTTAGCTTCTGGCCCCAGCAGACCTGCCCGGCTCCTGCCCGGGGTCCGAGCGGAGCGTCCTGCCGGGCGGCGCTTTCTTTCTCGGAGAGGAGCGCGCGGTGCAGTGCCGGCTTGGTGTCCCCCGTCCTGAGCAACCGGCGCGACCCGCCCGCGACCCCCGCCGCCGAGCCGGCGCCCACCCTGCAGGAAGCTCCTGGACGCTGCGCGCCTCGAAGGCCTGGGGCCGACGGGGACCTCCGGATGGGCGATCTCGCCCGTCGGCTCCAGTGACGGCGGCGGATGCCCCACGCCCCAATTCCTACCAGCGAGCCCGTGGGCACTGAACCCTGGTGCCCCGTCCCGCGGGGCTGCGCCGCTCTGGACCCCCCTGACCTCCCGCGCTGTCTATGCCTCCGCAGTCGCCGGGGGAAAGTTTGCGCTCCCGGCCGCCCATGGCTCCCCGCCTGTCTCCACCTGCCTTCCCAAGCCAGGCAGCCCCGAGGATAGGGGTGCGGACCGAGCCGGGGCCGCCCGTCCTCTCGACCTCGCCCGCAGCTTCTTACCCCACTTCCCCGGTCCCGCGCGCCCGGGCTTACCCTGCACGCCGGCCCGGGAAGGCAAGCCGTCGGCGAGGATGCATCCTCCTCCTCCTCCGCCTGCTCTCAACCGGCTGGCAAGAGCGGAAGGCCAGTGCGGCGTCACCGCCCCATGCCGCCAGCGCGAACTTCCCCAGTCCTCCCGGGCCGAAAGGCTCCGGTGCCCCCCGCGCTCCCGCCGCCACCCTGCGGCTCCGCTCCGCGACCGAGGCCGCGCTCTGCCCTGCTGCAGAGATTCCGCCCCCCCACCCCCCCGCGTCCCCAGTGCACTCGCGCGCTCGCTCTCACCTCGCCCGAGCGCCACATGTCGTCTCCGGCTTTGGGGAACGTTCCTCTGCAGAGGCGCTCCGGTAGAGGCCGCCAGACTCTCACCAAATGCGCCCTCGCCTCGGGCCGGCTCAGCGGAGGGGGAGGGCTCCGGGCCCGCGGCTGGGCCAGGTTTGGGATAGGCCATATTTCCGATGAAGTTTCTTGGTAGCCTGCGGGAGAATATCGATGCTTCTTGTAATAAGCACCGGTCCCTCTTTTCAGAGCTGAGATGCAAAGGGCGTGTCAGCAGGCAGCCCCAGGAGGCCGTTTCTCTGAGAGCTTTCCTGTTTCACGGCCAGCCCTGAGCACCTTACTGGCCTGGCCTCAGTCTTCCCGCAGTTCTCCACGCAGGCCTCTGTGTCCGCATCTGCTCCTCGCTTTAGAAAGAAGCTAGCTTGTGAGGCTACTTTTTAAAATCTGTAATTCATCGCTACGGGAAGGAAAGTCAGAGTAAAATTGGATTAATTAGAATTAAACACTTACCTAATTGCAGTATACATTTGGGCGTTTTAGGAAGTTCCCTTTCTGGACAAGAAGCCGCCTTGTCAGTAGCAAGGGACCCTGGGGTCTGCAGACCTGAGAACGGGTCTGGGGCGCGGACACTGGTGCAGGGCACTGCCTCCTGCACCCACGCACATGTGAGATTTCATTATTGGGATCGTGTCTGTCTCTGCCGCAGTGTGCCCACTCCAAGAGGTGAGGCTGGCACTAATGATGCCTGGGTGGAAAAGGGGTGCAAAAGCAAGCACAGTCCTGGTTTTAAGATGGCAGCATCTGGTTTTCTCAGGAGGCGGCTGCCTCTTGGCTATGAGAACACCCAGGGGGAGATGTTCAAGATTTAAAGTAAAACCAGCAAGAACATAATGGGCAGTGTACTATTATTTCCACGTCTTTTGTGACACTGAGTTGTTTACAATCATTTTTAACAGAATAATTGTGAGAAAGGCAAATTTCTAACTGTCCCCCAGAAAATATCTTTAATCTTTCAGTGTGTGAAGTCACTCTGTTCTTCAGTTATGTTTAATGCCATGTATTCCAAATCTAAGCTAACTGCCGGCACTTTTGCACTTTCCAAAACGCTAAGATTTTCCAAAAACAACAACTTGTAAATATATTTAAGGAACAGGACATAAAAATACATAAATGTTGCAAATATAAGGAAGTGTTATTCTGAATATACAGTTAGTCACAGTATTAAATAACTCAGATTCTAGTGGTTCTTTATGAAATATAAATTAGGTAAGATGCTCATTTGAAAGGCTTTTCTGATTCTAAAATGAATAAATTGAACACAGGCATTTCTTTATTTTATAATTTCTCAAAAGTCATATCACTAAGATAAAGTTCATTGACAGTCAAAATCATTAAATTAAAAACAATCAGAATCAATATAATTTACCCTACTAAGTGTTAGAATTCTAGGTTTGGAGATACCAGTGACAGCTACTCTTTTCCCAGGATAAGGCAAATCAAAGAGTTCAAATAATTAGTGAATCTAAAGCTTTAGAGATTACCAAAGTCATTCAGTAATTTTTGCAAAAATGTAGATAAACCAGGGATTATTTTGGATTAGTAAGAATTACAGATACTAATTTTTAACAATATTATTTTAATCAATGAAATCAACTGTAGGAGAATTTATGTTCTTTTGATGAATTATTTTTTAAATTTCCATGTTTTTCCTATTAGTTTAATTTCAGTACATATTATTGAACATACGGAACTATGTTTACTAAGAGCTAATCTTTAAAATTGTATTTAAGCATGTGGCTTAAATATTTACCTTCTCCCTGAGATGAAATGGTAACCCAGTCTCTCCATATTTATGAACATATAGCAGAGTCTTAGGTCAGATGGACCTGAAAGGATAGTGAAATAATAAGGCATATCATAACCTTATAGAAATTCACATTTTAGAAGACTATATATTACCATTTCATAATGTTTGTTTTAATATGGAATTCAATGTTTGCCCTGAAAAATAATGGTCTATCAGCTGAATTCCCATTTGTTCCTTTAGCATTTCCCTTGTATTGAATGACAGAAAGCAAAGTAGTTATAGTTCTGGAAAGCAGTAGAGGGCACCACAGTTCCACATAACCTTAGGGTTGGACCAGTCTCCATAATAGTTTCCAGTGTGAGAGCCTAAAATAGCTGAACTTGGGGAAGCTGGGAGATGGGTGGACACTTTCTACCCCATCCAGAGCAGAGACAGCACAGGGAGGCTGTGTTTGTCGGGGTAGGTGGAGTAGAGATGGCTAAACGAGAAAACAGTGTCTCCATGAAAAAGAAGAGCTTGGTGAGAAGTTGAATGGAGGGTGTTCTAAGCTGAGAGTCCACCTGTGTAAACTAAGGCATGTTCATGGAACTGTATGTAATTTTTTGTTTGGAAAATTCAAGTACAGGGTAAAGATAGCAACAGGTAAGATGAGACAGGTGCCAGAAGACAAGAAATTTGGCACCAAGCAGTTAACTTCCTCTGCAGGCAAGGAGTCATTGAATAGTTTTGTTGGTGGGGGAGGTACATGTTCCAGAACAGATTCCCCGTAGCAGCTGTATACAGAAAAAGTGTTGGGAAGAGGCAAACCTAGGCTAAAAGCATGAATGAATATTGCAGGACCAGCCTTTGATGGATGGGAGTTTAATAAATGTTTGAGTCTTTTCATTAATGAAATCATAACTTCATAGATTCACATGTACTCAAAGTGGATTTATTAGTGCTTTGACGGAACAGAAACAAGAGGGTCTTGGTTGTTAAGGAAACAGAAATGTCAGTTCTGACTGGAAGAAGAAGGAAGATTCCTAGGAAAAGGTGGCAGTTGATTTGGACTCTGAAAAAGAATTTGTACAGAAGATATCAGAAAAGGTAAAAGAAAGAGCAGGAACAAAGGTAGGAAAGTACAGGGCACATTAAGTGATAAAAGCTCAATTCACAGAAGCACCCACTAATTTTGGAGTCTCCTGGAGAGGCAGGAGGCAACTGCAGCTCACTCTAGGGACATAGACACTGGTGGCAGCTATTTTGGGGAGCTGCTCTACCATGTGGACACTGATGCAGCCAACTGCCATTTGGAAGCCTCCCTTTAGCTTTTTACCCTTGGGACACTGCCCTGCCCCCACCCACCAGCCTGTAGGCACCAGTACTGGGACGCCTCAGGCCCAGCAACTAGCTGGGTGGGGATACAGCTCCACCCACCAATTACAGGCTGTCGTAACATCCACTAAGCCCCCAGCCATTCCTGGACATGGCCTTGTCCACCAGAAGGCCCAGGACACTGCTCCACACACCAGTGTGTAGGCACCAGAACTGGGAACCCCAGGGCTCTACAGCCAGAAACCTTGGGACCTAGCTTCACCTACCAGGCGGCAAGCACTAGCCACAGAGCCCCCTGGGCCCCACCCACCCACTAGCAGGGAGAAAGCAGTTCTGAAATCACCAGAGCCCTACCCCTGGCTTGTCAGAGCCTAGTAATACACCAGGAAGCTGGCGCCAGCCCCAGAGCTCATTGGGCCCCAGTCCTGCCAACCAGCAGGCCAACACAGGCCAACACCTTGGACCCCTCAATCAGCCACCCCAGGATCTGGCCACTCTTACCAGAGAGCTGACACAAGCTTTGGGGCAATGCATACCCCACAGCTGGCCCCACCCACAAGAAGCCTAACGCCAGCTCTGGAACCCCTGGGCCCTGAAGTCAGAGACCCCAGTACTATGTTCTATCTGCCAGTGAGCCAGCATAGCCCCAGGACCCAGCTTCACACACTGGTCGGTGGACACCAACCCCAGGATCTCCTTGACCCTGAACCTACATACCAGTGGTTGGACACCAGCCCCAAGACCACTGCAGCCCTGCCCCCTGTCTTGTCAGGACACAGCCAACATATCAGCAGGCTTGTAACAGCCCCAGGACCCACTGGGCCATAGCCCCACTCACCATCAGTTCAGCACCAGCTTTGGGACACCCCAGAACCCACAGCCGGCCATGCCAAGAACTGGCCACACCCACCAGCAGGATGACACTAGATCCAGGAACCCCAGCCCTGCAACCACCCACCCCAGAACCTGGCTCTGCCCACAACTGAGCCAGCGCCAGCCCCAGGACTCCCCAGGGTTCCACAGACAGCCACCCCATGACCCAGCCTCACCAACCAGCAGCTGGCACCCTCTGCACAAGGCAGGGCCTGGCAACCAACTGGACGTAGGGCCAGCCATGCTTACCAAACTGCCCACAGTTGTCAGCCTGCCACAACAGAAGGACCCACACAACCCTCATAGGGGACAACCCTAGAGCATATAACACTGGTAATCAGAGGGGAGTGTGTTGCTGGGATGCATAGTTATGTCTCCTACAAAAAACCACTTATCAAAGGTCAGGAAACATAACCAACCTACCAGAGACATAAAAATAAAAACATCAAATTAGGCAAAATGAGGCAACAGAGGAATATGTTTCAAATGAAGGAATAAGATAAAACCCTAGAACTAAGTGAAGTGGAGAGAGGCAGTCTACCTAATGAAATATTCAAGGTAATGATTATAAAGATGACCAAAGAGCTTAGAGAAGAATGGGTGAACAGAGTGAGAAAGTGTAAATCACTGAAACTGAACAGAAACAAGAAAAAAAAAAAAAGAAATGAGGACAGTTTAAGAGACTTCTGAGAAAACATGAAGTATACTAATATTCACATTATAGGGGTCCCAGAAGGAGAAGAGAGAGAGAGAGAGACAGAGAACATATATGAAGGCATAACATCTGAAAGCTTCCCTAACTTGGGAAAAGAAAGACACATCCAAGTCCAGGAAACGTAGAGTCCCAAACAGGATCAACCCAAAGAAGAAAACACTAAGACACATTGTAAATCAAATGGCAAAAATGAAAGATAAAGAGAAAATATTAAAAGTAGCAAGGGAAAAGCAACAGGTTACATACAAGGGAACTCCCATAAGGCTATCAGCTGGCTTTTCAGCAGAAACTCTGCAGGCCAGAAGAAATAGCACGACCTATTTCAAATGACAAAAGGGAAAAACCTACAACCAAGAATACTCTACTTGGCAAGTCTTTCATTCAGATTTAATGGAAAAATCAAAAGTTTTACAAAGAAGCAAAAACTAAAAGAGTTCCACACCATCAATCCAACTTTACAAGAAACGTTAAAGAGACTTCTCTAAGCAAAAAAAAGTCACAACTAAAAACATGAAAGTTACAAAAGGAAAAAGTTCATTGGTAAAGGCAAATATACAGCCATGTACATACAGCCATGTACAAAACTAATAGGATGGTTAAGAGACGAAAGTAGTAAAATCAGCTATATTTGCATAAGTAGTTAAGGGATACACAAAATAAAAGAGTGTAAAATATAAAGTCAAAAACTGTAATTCTTGGGGGCTAGAAAGTAAAAAGCCGAGGTTGTTAAAAAGTCTTTGAAATTAAGAAATCAGCAATTTTAAATAGTCATATATATAAATATATGTATATATATATATATATACATATATAAACCTCAAAGGTAAGCACAGACCAAAAACCCATAATAGATACACACAAAAAACCAGAAAGGAATCCAAACACAACACTAAAGATAGCTATCAAATTACAAGGGAAAAGAATATAAGAATAAGAAAGGAACAAAAAAGAACTAAAAAAAACCAAAAACCCAAACAATTAACAAAATGGCAATAAATACACACCTATCAAAAATTACTTTCAGTGTAAATGG